TAGGGTATGTACACATTAATGTAACGATGTTTTTTTCGTACATATTTATCAGTTGAACTTGTTTGACTTGTACACATTAGGTTTTTGCTGATTTGGCATATTACGTGGCATATTCACCCTCTGCTCATCCTTTATTTAACCCGATACATTGTTATGATTTTTACCTTAGAAAAAGATTAGTGCCCTAAAATGTCGACAACTTTTTCAGCATTCTCCCCCTCACCTCTAAGGCTTGGATTCACTCGTTGCTACTGTGGCCTTCCATCTCGAATCTGCACATCAAGGACGAAAAACAACCCTAGAAGAAAGTTTATGATATGTCCGATATGCCATTTTTTCGATTTTTAGATTTGGTTCATGTTTGTTGTTGTATTGGTTATTTCACTCCTTGATACTCTTGTTTATGTTATTGGTTTATGTAGAAAGTAGAAGAAATGTGTGGTTTTTGGGGATGAGTAGAACCTGATGAAACACTTGAAGTTGTGCAACATGATATTTTGAGCCTTAGAAAAGAGCTGGAAGAAGTAAAGAATAAACAATTTACTGTTAAGTGTTTATTGGTTGTTTTCATTGTGATGTGTTTATTTAGTCTTTTGAAGTAGTAATTGTAATCATCAAGAAGTAGATTAATGCTAAGGTTGTGTTGGTTGTAATCTTTTAGATGGTGAAATGGTATTTTTAATCTTTTGAAGTTGTATTAAGATATAATGTACTTTGTAACACTTATTTTGATATGAGCGGGATTTGATTTGTTATATTATTTTGATATGAAACAGATTTCACAGAAATAGATTTCAAAGTAGGATGCTAAAGTAGAATCAAAGTAGGATGATAAAATAGCAATTGTTTTGAAGTTGTATTAAGATATAATGTACTTTGTAACACTTATTTTGATATGAGCGGGATTTGATTTGTTATATTATTTTGATATGAAACAGATTTCATAGAAATAGATTTCAAAGTAGGATGCTAAAGTAGAATCAAAGTAGGATGATAAAATAGCAATTGTTTTGACCAATTTACCCTTGGATTTGCAGTTTTGGTAAAAAAAATTTCATAGAAACAGATTTCAAAGTAGGATGCACATTATAGAAACAGTTGTACTACAAAAAACCCTTAACACATTAATCAACATAACCTTGAAGCGGGTTATGACCAAAATACCCCTTAACTAGAATCATAGTAGCATTACATCATTCTAGTAGTAAGGTAGCATAGTTACATTACATAAGACTTAGGGTTTGCTACCAATTCCATGCAAAAGACTAGAAGTTTGTTTTAGACAAAAGATATTGTCATAACTAACAAATTAGGGTTAAGATTTCTATCATTGTACAATATAACTTCTTTGTGTAACCTTGTAACATTACTTTTAGTATAAATCAAACTTCAATACTATTAAAGTTATACATCCAAAAATTGTGATTCAAGTCGAAACCACCTTGTATCACCCAAAACCTAATCGAATAAGCTAAGACTACTCAACTTTGGGCCTTAGTCCATGTTTTCTCGGCCCAAAACCCCTACTTAGGCCATGACACTCTTATTGGGCCCTAATGGGCTGATAGCCTTTCCAGTTTGTCTTTTGGACCGAAAACCCTCCTTTGCGCTTCCTAATGGGCCGAAGGCTCTTAATGGACTTACATGGGGCCATAGACCCTTATTGGGCCGTAAAATTTATTCTTAGACCATAATGGGCTGAAAACCCTGTAATAGGTATTATATTGGGACGAAACCTCTCTTAATAGGCCAAAAATCTCTAATGGGCCATCTATTAGGCCGAAAACCCCCTAATAAGCCCTTTTGGGCCGAAAGCTTTCACATGGAATCTCATTGGGCCGAAGACCATTCTTTGGGCCCTAATGAGCCAGAAACCCCTATTAGGCCCTCTCACTAAACCAAAAATCTTTATTAGGCCAATTCCACGCCCTCTGGGCCTATTATTGGACCGAAAACCTTCTTGGGCCCAAACCAAGCCCATGAACACCTACAAACCGAAAACCCTTAGTGGGCCTAAGGTGTTTTCGACTACTCTTGAAAAACCGAACCCATTTTCCCTCTAATCCTTAGGTCGACGGTTTTAAAAAATAGAAGGAAATGGTGGATAATAAATGTGACACCTCAAATTTACACCACATATAACAATGTCTATTATCTTGCATGCATTTAAGAAGTGAGCTTTGTCCAACATATTAGCAAGCACCACCCACCCCCTTCCCCTCTCATAATTAGCCGAAGCCCCTTCCTCTCCTCCTACTCTCATTCAAACTCCACATTCTCATCTTATTTTCTCTCAAGTTCTATTGTTCTCTCAAGGAAAATTTCGAGCTCCACATCATCACAGATCAATCTTAAAGCTTATTGATAAGGCCATGTTAAACTTCATAGCCTTGTTCCAAGTTCATACCAAAATCTTTCCTCTTACAACTCCATTTTTGTGTATATGCTCTTAGAACGCCCATAACTCCAAGAATCTCCTTAAGAGAGCAAGCTAGGACCGAAACCTTCCTCTATCTCTCTTTACATTTCGAAAAAGCCCCAAGGTGAGCTTCATACCCCATGTTTTCGAGTTTTCATTCTTTGGGGGGGGGGGTTTACAAGTAAAAATCTTGGTTAAATCATTGAATATTTGCTTGCATGTGTATGTTTTATATGTTTATGTGTGTTGAAATGTTGTGATCTCATGCTAAAAATCCATGAACTCGAGATTTGTACAAGTCTCAAGTTGTTGGAAGCAAAGTTATCTTGTGTAGCTTCACATGTTTTGTTGTTATGTTAAAAATGTTTTGTTTAATGTGTGATAAAATGACCATGATGTCAAGGAAAATGTTAAAACATATTTGGATATAAAAGTTTTGAAAGTTGGTAAAATATGAGAATTTACACTAAAAATGGTATAATTTTGGATATATATATATATATATATATATATATATATATATATATATATATATATATATATATATATTTACCACTAAAACTTGTAAAATGGTTGAAGTTATGGTAACTTTCAAGGTTTTAAGAAATTTTGTTTAAATTGGGACAAGTTCTAGTCATAACAAAATGAGAATATTTTTAGCATTACAAAACACTTAAATAAAATTTTGGTATGTTGTAAACTCACTATAATAATCAAATATTTTACTAAAATATAGTTAATATTAAAATAATGCTTTATCTCAAAGGTTTAAAAACTTGGAGTATTTTGTTACTTCCACAACACATGTTGTAAATTGACAAGCTGTTAATAATTACTTATAAACATCTGTATGAATAGTTTAATATAGCAGTACGATGAACAAAGCTTCACGATAGAGAGATTTGTGTGTCACAAAACTACCGTCACAAATTCACACTAAGAACGTCATATGCGTTATTCGATAAATTCGCGCAAATCTTTGTTAAGGCTCTTGTGAGATATGCCTTCACTTGTACCTACCTAGCGCACACCATAATTCATGTAGTTATAACCAGAGTCTCTTGGAGGGTGAGAGGGATATTGTGTATAGATCTATACGGGGTTGACACCCCCACACCCGAGTTGTTCGCTACAGCTTGACGGGCCAATCTAGGGTGACAAATATCTTACCGAAACTGACGTCTGAAGAACGTCATGACAGACATTTAGTCATATCAATTATGGTTGTAACGACTCACATAGGGGTTAACAATAATATTTCGAATTTATGAAGAATGTACACTCTACTAGTTTTCATAAGAATACAAACTATTCCTCCTCTATTTTTGGCACACTATGGTTTCAAAATATATCTATTTTTGGCACATTATGGTTTCAAAATATATCTCTTTACTCTCTTTATAGAAAATATTGGATTTTCTAGAATCTACGAACCAATACAAAACAAAGATATTACAAGTTTCCTCACAAATATGCTTATGAACTCACCAACATTCTATGTTGAAGCTTTTCAAAACGACTTGTATTCTCAGGGATTCAGTGAGCAGGTACTCAGCTATGGATTTTGGATATTTACAACATTTTTGTAACATCATGCATTATGTTATTTTGAGATGTATTTTCATTAACAAACACAATTTGTAACAAGTATGTTGGTATCTATAATGTATGGTGGTTGGTTACTATGTTTCATTTTTATTCAACTGTTATGATATTACAAGATGAAGTCACCCGCCCTCGGACGTTTCCGATGTTCCGATTCGGGGGTATGACAGATACTAGTAGTAAACAAGAACATCATTCTAAAGTTATTGGCTTGTTTTGACTGCAACCAATCCCTCCTTTGGGGACAAATTTCTTACTTAGACCAATCTCGGTTATACGTTCTGAAACTTTCCTCTTTCGCACATGCATCTTTCCAATTCTTGAAGCTGTGGGAGCTTGAATAGGTTCTTGTACACGTTCTTATGCAGGTTCTTATACACGTTCTTGAACGGGTTCTTGTATAGGTTCTTGTACGGGTACATGTCCAATTCCACTTCCACTTGTACTTCCCCTTCCACTTGTACTTCCCCTTCCTGAGAAAACAAACTAATATTAGTTTCCAATTACATAGAACTACACTAAATAAATTCATTTTTACCTTTTCATGGACAACTTGATTTCTTGTGTCCAATGCCCCTAGCACATTATCTATCCATTCTTACCGTAGACCCTAGGTTAGACCTCATAATCTCCTCACCATGATCCCACAACCTTCCATAATGTTCAACCAAAGTACCTTCAATCTTACTTAATGCAAACCTTCTTTCATTTCTACACTTCGCCAAACTAACATTAATATAAAAAATTTTGGAAATTTTAGCTTTCATTTTCCTTAAGATCATTTTTGGTCTTTGTAATATTTAATTAACAAAATGCTTCCCAATCCACCTATAACTCACAATTACTCCATGTTTGAATAACCTGGAGCAATTGTGATTATCTTTCAGTGACTTAATTTGAAAAGAATGTCTGTCCTTCATCCAAGTGGCCCAGGGTCTAAATGGACATTTATGGGTTGAAACTTTGCTACATTTAGCTAACAACCTGTTCTTATCACTTTTTTATACCATAAACCATATACATGTCTAACAGCATAATTACTCAGTAAACATTTAAGCTCATCGGGGTCATAAAACTTCATACCTAGCATAGGAACAATCTTCTTCCAGTTTTGGTTTGGATCATGGATAGGATACATTGGTTTCACATCAACTTCTTCGTTTGTTGCATCTGTGTCGGAACCATCTTCTGATTTCTTTTTAGGACAAAGGGCATTAAGAAATGAATCATCAAGTGGTTTCCTACTTGACACCACCTCATCCTCTTCATGGTCATTTAAAATCACGTCCGAAAATGTAGAATCATCAACTTCGTCTTCATTCTCTACAACCAAATCATATTTACCAGGATTCTCCTCCTCGATCCAATCAAAAATGGATTCATTGTACTAATCAATGTACACATTAATTCTTTTTTCTTGGCTTCCATCACCAACCTTAAGGAACTCTATATAATCTCCTTCATTCTGAATTACTCTTAAGCCTCCACTCAACCTTTCATGTGGAAGACAATAGTAAACATCCTTGCAGTTGATCTTCTTTGTGAGATTTTCAAGGAATGTAATGAAATATGAAAATACCATAGCATTGAAGTCGACATATCATATAGATGCGATGCCTGGGTTGAAATATACAAGAGGGTTGGGGGGAAAATACACCATTATAGTGGACATCCACGATCAGGGATGATCCCTTTGTCATTACAGTCAAAGAAACAGAAAGGGATTTCAATTGCAAAGGTTCGACATTAAGAATGAAGAGAAACGGGAACGATGGAACGAAAGCGGTGGGTTTTTTGTTTATGAACCCTAATTCCAATTACCATTCATATAATGTGTCAAAAATGCCAAATAATTTCATTTAATGCCATGTAATATGCCAAATCCGTGAAAACCTAAGATCATCGATCATATTACCTAAATCTGTACAGGTCAAACAAGTTCAATTGATAAATATGTACGAAAAAAACATCGTTACCTTATTGTGTATAGACCCTAAACTACGTTACCTTTGTATGTCATTAACCCTTTCACAAATTTTAATATAGGTTTCACAATTTTGAATATTGGTTTTACAATTTCAATTTGTTGATTATTGTTTGTTACATGCTATCATGGGAAAGGTAATCTTGGCCATACAGGAAAATCTCTAAATTGTTGTGATCGGTTTTGAAAAAATCGAGAGGTATGCTGCCTCATGAGCCTCTGTTTAGGATCATGTTTTTTAGCAGATGATGGATATCTCGATCACTTATAGAGGCAAAGTACTTTCCATGTTGTGCTCATGCACTAGATTTGGTTGAATCGACCCTCGACCGAGCAACAACTTGATGATTTTACATGCAATAAACAGGAATTTTTTTTACTCTTAAGGGTACATGCAACCTATTAGATCTAGTCATAACACTATTGAAGTAACATTCTGTAACATCCCAAAAATACAACCTAAAAGTTTTTGTTTGAAAACATTACTAAACCATAATATCAAATATCAAAACATAAAAACATGAATCATGTATCTCAAAATGTCATAATAAATTTATCAAATCGGAACTAGTGTCAAGGTCATATCAAAATATCAGAGTCTAACTCCCAGGCTAAACTGTGGTGTGTGTCATGCCATCATCCCGAGCCCTTCCCTTTGCTAGCTGAAGTACCTGAAACCAAAACTGAAACTATAAGCACAAAGCTTAGTGAGCTCCCCCAAACTACCACATACCATACAATAACATATAAGCACATACTGGGCCTTGTCCGTTGCGTCGGACCGAAGTCCGGAACTAACTAGGGCCTCGCCCACTGCATCGGACTGAAGTCCGCAACTGCATCGGACCGAAGTCCGAAACTAATTAGGGACTTGCCCACTGCATCGGACCGAAGTCTAGAACTACATCGGACTGAAGTCCGGAACTAACTAGGGGCTTGCCCACTACATCGGACCGAAGTCCGGAACTAACTAGGGCCTCGCCCATTGCATCGGACCATAGTCTGGAACTGACTGATCATAGCATAACTGTGACATCCCCAATTTTCACGGCCAGAAAAGACCGATTTTTGTTTATGCTTTATAAAAATCAGAGTACATTTTTTTAATAAAAGTGTTGCGGAATTTGTCCCCATAAAAACATGATAATTACGTTATCAAATCATTTCCGAAGAAATGTATTTTTTTTATTTATTTTAAAAGATTGGGATGTCATTGTCAATACAGGAACATAAGCATTAAACAGAACTTACATTCATTACACTAGTGATCTACATCTCTTTTAAATCCCTCAGTGTAAAGTAGCTTCATATCGACACCTGTGATACAAATAAGCTGGAGTGGGTCAGGTTGGGAAACCTGGTGAGTACATAGGGTTTTCAACCCACAATAATACAGTTATTATAATTAAACATCAAACAATCAACCAAATTACCCATTCCCATTATCTTCTTAAGGATTTACTCTAAGGATCAGCTATTTCTCATTCATTCATTGTTAAGGATTATCCTAAGGAGTATGTACGAAGTCCATTGTTTTCAATGACACAACTATCAAGCACAGCTGCTACTTCTATCACTTAGGCATCGCTGCCAGAATTTGGACATTTTCTATGAGGCGCTTCTATCGGTATTGACCTTTAAACGCTACTGTCATGCTTATAAGGCTCCCTATTAGGCACAACTGTCGATACTGTCCTTAGAGCGCAACTGCTAGGACGTTTACCGTATATCTAAATCATCTACGAGTTGTGGCGCAACTGCCAGTGCTCATCTATAGGGTACTAGGTCCACTGCTATCAATGTATACCTATAGGGCACTAGGTTCGTACTACTAATGTTCCTCTATTTCAGCTTTTATTCCTCATCATTCATCTACCCATGTTTTACCCAACATATTTTGTAGATATAAAATACTTTATACAATTTACATCATTTAAAACATGTATAAAAATCTTTCACCAGCATAGACAACAAGTATTCATAAAATATGCACACATAACACGTAATTTATATTAAAATACTTCATATCTATATGTAAGATGAAAGAGACCATGCACTCACTTGAGAAGATGGTGACTCGGCACTTGGACAACACTTCGTTACTCTTAACACAATTTTCCTCGATAAAACCTAGTATCAATATGACTAGGGTTTAGTCTGATGTTAACCACGACTAATTAATAGTCTAGCTATTATTATTATTATTATTATTATTATTATTATTATTATTACTATTATTATTATATAAACGTTAAATAACACTCAATATAACTCATAATAATAGCCCAAATAATTATTTTAAAGTACTAATAATGTTACTATAATTAATTAGAAGCTATATTAAAAATAGCGTAGGCGTTGCTCAATTACAACATGTTTTATAGAAAAAAAACGGGCTTCGCTGGAGTAGTGTTTCCGAGCCGCAAGCTTTTATTCTCGGAACCGTCGGGCGCTCCGTGGATTTCTTCTCGTGCTAGGGAGGTTCCCTAGACTTTGGAGGGGTTTAGGGAGGCTAGAGAGAAGTTAGAGAGAGAAAGAGAGGCTTATGGTGTGAAGAAATTATGAAGAGTTCATCTCTTATTTATAGGAATTTTATAGTAAAGTAGTCTGTAACGACTCGTTTCCGGTATGTTAATTAAGTGTTAATGGTCTAAGTCTTCAAGAGGGACTCGGCGAGTTCTAGCCTGACTCGCCGAGTTGGGTCGCGCATTTTGTGCACGCGGGAGCCGGCGACTCGGCGAGTCCATATCCCGGACTCGGCGAGTCCGTCCGTTTGGGTGAAACCCTAAATCCCCGGGTTTGCTCACTATTTAAACCCCATTATAGCCTCATTCTCGCCACTTTCACCCTGAGAGCTCTGTGAGAAACCCTAACCCTTCCATTTGAGAGCTTATAAGTGATTTAGTTCCATTTTGTGAAGGTGTGAAGAAGGAGAAGAAGAAGGAAGCAAGGAAACGAGTTGTAGTGCAAAGATCCAAGGTCAAATCTGAGCTTATTGAGGTATTTTCAGAGTTCCCTTCTGGTTACATGCTTAAACTTCCATTAGAGCTCTTTTAAGGGCTATTTGATGTTGTTCCAAGCCTTATGTTTGCATGAATGTGTTAATAAGTCGAAATACCTTTGGATCTGAGTGTTGGGGTGTTGTAGAGCCCAGATCTACTGTCTTTTTGGAGCTACATTGCATATTAGCCATGGATCTACTCTTGTTGTGCATCTTTTAGTCTTATTTCCCTTATTCATGAGGTTGTGCACGTAAAGTTGGAAACTTTACGTGGTAACACAGCTTATTGGACCTAGATCTATCATTTGCATGTGTTGGATTCAAGAGAAATCGAGTAAAAATATGTTGCATGGCGGCGACTCGGCGAGTCGGAAGAACGACTCGACGAGTCAGGTCGCGAGTCCCGAGTTCTTCAGTTTCATCAGTGTCGAGTGGACGAGGTGAGTTGGGGAGTGGACTCAGCGAGTTGAGAGTAGACTCAGTAATGGAGGGACTCGGCGAGTTTGTTCATACAACTCGGCGAGTCCAAGGCAATCTTCTTGGGGATCAAGAACAACTCGTCGAGTCTGTTCATCCGACTCGGCGAGTCGGATGAAGATCATCTGAGTTCTTGGATCCAGAGGGTACTCGTCGAGTCGATGCCACACTCGACGAGTACCAGCGTGTAAGAGTTGAGAGGAAAGTCTAGGACTCGGCGAGTTGGGTATCCCGACTCGGCGAGTCAGCCCTGAGTAAGTTGACTTTGACCAAGGGTAAAAGAGTCATTTTACCCCGAGTGTAGTGTTAGTGATTGATTGAGTGTGTTTATGGATTTGTAGCCGGGAGATTCAGGAGCAGCAGCCGTTAGCTTTCGAGCCACACACTCATCCGCTAGCTTACGAGGTGAGTTTCCTTCCAGTAGGGACGGGTCTAAGGCCACAATGTCGGCCCGTTCAGTTAGTAGTAGTTCCGGACTTCGGTCCAATGTAGTAGTTAGTATGTTTGATGCCTTCGTGGTTCAGACAAAATTTATGCGCTATGTGTATGTGTTTATGTTCCGGGCTACGGTCCGATGCAGTATGCAGTATAATTGTTATGATATGCTATACTATGCTCAGTCAGTTCCGGACCTCGGTTCGATGCAGGGGACACGGTCCCAGTCAGTTCCGGACTCCGGTCCGATGCAGTTAGTTCCGGACTCTGGTCCGATGCAGTTGGTTCCGGACTCTGGTCCGATGCAGTTAGTTCCGGACTTTGGTCCGATGCAGGGGACAAGGTCCCAGTCAGTTCCGGACTTCGGTCCGACGCAGTTTCCGGGCCCCGGCCCGATGCAATGGGCAAGGCCCAATATGTGTTTATATGTTTGGTATGGTATGTGGTAATTTGGGTGAGCTCACTAAGCTTCGTGCTTACAGTTTCAGTTTTGGTTTCAGGTACTTCCGCAAGCAAAGGGAAGAGCTCGGGGTGACGGCATCGCACACACCACCGCCTCAGCTTTAGCCTGGGATTGATTTAGTTGTTGATTTGATGTAGTATGCTACAGTTTCCGCACAGTACTTTATTATATTTTGGGACATATCACGCATGGTTTATTTATATGATACTCTGATTATAGTTT